GAGGTACCTTTTTTTCAGAGAACATTCTTCTGTGTTAACATTTAGTACTGCAAGAACAAGTCAATATAAAGGTCTATTGGACACAAGTGTGCAAATACCCTTTAGTGACTGTTCATCTATACAACAGTTCAATCACCATAACTAGTCTAATGTTTGTTGGGAACAAATGCAATAATGTGCACTCTTTCCTCTGGTTCTTTTGACCTGGAATGACCTGCGTCCGCTGTCTGGAGGCTTGACCATCTGCTGGAAATGAACCGTGAAACCGCTGTTTCTGCATTTAATGGCCTCTCAATAGTAATTACACACCACAAACCAGCCAGAGATCACTGATAGAGGTGCATTAGATGATGTAACACTATTTCTCTCTGTCTCACACACTATTTTTTTACTCGCACATGGATAAAGTCTAGAGCTGAGAGCTAACCATTAACATTTCCGTTCAGCCCAGAAGGTAACCATGATTCTGTAGGTTTGTATTTAACCAGCAGGGGCCAACTGGAGAGTGCTGTAACCTGCCAAACACATTAGAAGACAAATTATCATCACGATTTGTCTTCCAGTTTGCCCAGTTTCATTAAAATGCTGGGTCGGTTGTTCAAGTGACCGGTCATCTAGTAATGGCTCAACAGAAGGATGCAATTTGCTCTGATTGAGTGCAGTGCAGTTAAACTGCAGTCATTTCTGCTGCCTGTGATCACAGAGCTGCTTCAGAGCATGTTTGACCTCATCTGTCGTTTCTCACCATGACTAAATGTAGAGCCGGAGGCCAATTCTAATTAAACATCATTTGTGAGGATTACACTAATCTAAGCTGTTCTTTATCATTTTCAAAGCAGGTTAACAGGTGAAAACGATGAGTATAACATTATTTACCCATGAAGAATCTTGACAAACAATTGTTTTCTTTTCCAAAGCTGCATGATTAAAGTGTTAAAATAAACAAACAAACAAAACTAAATAAATAAAAAATAAAAATAAATAAATAAATAAATGAACAAACTGATGTTTTGTGCAGATTAAACATGGCACAACATGCAAAATGCATAAAAGTTTGGACATTTATATTGTTAATTGTAATTGTTAACTTATTTTCAAAACAGGTTAATATAGGCCATTTATATGTGTTTTAACAGTGAAATTCTGAAATAATCTTCTGTAATATTTCTGTAATATTTATTATGTTTATTAACATTTATTTTTCTTAATTTTGCATTAAGGATAAAAACAATGCGTAAAGCCAGTTATATCCATTTAAATGTCTTATCGATGACAATTTGGGAAAAATAAATAAATAAATAAAATATAAAAAATCTTCACAAACAGTAGTGTACTCAAAGATGTAGGATTCAAGTTACAGAAAACATATTTTCGGATTTTTTGTAAATATGTAACATGACACAACATGCAAAATCAGTAACAAACATTCGTACTTTTGTTTTGTTTACTGTTGTTTATTGAGTTTTGATTCTTGTATGAAAAGGCTGCATAACGATTCTTTGTGGAACAATCTGAGTAACAGGTCTTATTTGCTAAAACAGCAGGATTGTTCTCCAGCATCACTCACTGCCGCTGTGTCATCATGACCTCTCAAAACCCTTTTATCTCCAGCCTTTTAACTTGCTACTCTGTTTATTCTGAACTTCTCGTCATAACAGAGACAGTGACTCACACGCTTTTAAAAGCATTTGCCTAGTCAGGTCTTTCTAACATCATGCTACAGCGACACTTAATCTCTACGATAACGAGTCCAAGTTCATGCCGTCCTCCCGACTGAAACAAACACACTGCAACATTTAAAGGGAAAGTTCACCCCAAAAATGAAATTTGCTGTTAATTTACTCACTTTCAGACCATTCAAGATGTAGGTGACTTTTTTATTGTTTAGTAGAACAGTAAAAAAATATGTTTAGCGGAAACTGTGCTCCTTGGTGATTCTGATTCATACAATGCAAATCAATGGCTACCATCAAAAAGTCAAAACATAAGCATATACAGGCAACACAAAATGAATACATGTGGCTCCTGATGATATATTGAGGTCTTATGAAGCAAAATGATCAGTCTGTGTAAGAAACCGAAAATTAATTATTTACAACATAATCCAGAGACTCAGGCAAACGGTCTGGAGTGATGTCCGCTTCACGAACGAATCATTCCTTTGAACCGGTTCTTTTTAGTGAACTAGTTGAATCATTTCACAGATTTCACAGTTTATTCACTTTATATGCTTTAGACATGTAAAACATCCATTTCACATTATGTGCTTTAATAATATAATTGTGTATATGTGACGTCATTGTGTGATTATATACAAGAACTGTTGAATTGGTTGTTTGAACCAGTTTATTGAAACAAACTAAAAAAACAAAAAAAACAACAGTTGACGGAAATAATCCGAATAATAAGATTTCCCTGTTCGCTGAGGCTCTGGATTACTGGTATAATGTTGTAAATAATGTTCTGTTTCTTGCACAGACCAATCGTTTCGCTTCATAAGACCTCAAGATATCGTCACGAGCCACAGGTATTAATTTTGTCTTGACTGTATATGCTTATTTTTATTTTTTTTTACTTTCACATGTCGGTAGCCACTGACTTGCATTTTATGAATCACTAAGAACGGTTTCAGGTAAAAATCTTCTACTGAAAAAGTTCCCTTACGAAAATGAATCATGGTTTTATTATACTAAAAGTGTAGTAACAGTATGTTAATGTGCCTTTATATCGCATGCTGGTGCTTTGATATCACATTATTTTATTATCATAATCATAAATGATTATGAATCGGAAGTTTCACACGTTGAGAGAAAATAGACAATGTTGTTTTATTGGTAGTCTCGTTTTCTCAAAAGTTGCGCATTGTTGCTTATTCAATATAAATGTCATTATTTCCAAATAGTATCTAAATGCAGACAGTGAATGCTGGCGTAGCATCACAAGCTTGCCTTCAAAGAGAAAACCTATTTGAAACAGATTCAAGAAAGCTTTCATGACTGGACAATGAACATCCTCCAGATTTAAGGACACAAAGGCGAAGCTGAGAAGCTCCCAAAAGTCTTCTTATTATTCAGGATGTTCTTCTTAGAAATGCTGCTCTTTAATTGTCGGCCAAAACATACTAGCACTGCCACGTTCATCTTCTCTATCTGCTGCGTTTAGGAGTGTTGGTCACGTTGACAGCAGTCGTTAAGTTCCCCATAAGATGTAGTTTCCCAAAAGGTCTCCACATGGTGTGGCGCTGAATCACCAGGTTCAGTTTACTGGACTTCCTTCCAAGAATCGCTCACCATATACAAAAAAAGTCCTCTTTTGCTTCTCTCAGACACAGTGGGATGTGGATCGAACTTTGTTATGCTCTTTTAGCAAGAGTCCAAGTTTATTAAGCCTTTGGCAGACAGTCATTGGCAAAGACATTCAAAGCAACTGGAGCTCTTGTTTTATTACATGCAAGGATTAAGATTTAATTTCCAAAAGACAAATCGAATATCATATTCGGAGCAAACAGGGCTAATAAGAAAAGTGAACCTGGGTTTACAAAAACAAACACGATACAAGGAATCCTATCTGAACTCAATCAAAAACATTGAGTGGAATCAGGTTTTTCAAGGATGTGACACCGATTCACTTCAAGGGCTTGTTTTCCACACTGGTTTAGTCAAATTAAGAGCCATACAAAACCCTCAATACAATTAAAGCAAATAAACATTCACCCTCCACCAGCTTTTGCTGCTGTTCTTGTCGTTGTGATTTATGTAACCACGGCTGATGCTGTGAAGGAAGCTCAAGCTCTTTGTCTGCGCTTACGTGAGAGAACCGATGCTCCTCATGGCTGTCTGACATGAGAATTAAAAACAGATGAGACGTACATTCGGATTTCATCTCAGTAATGTATAGAGTAGAAAGAGAGAATGTGCAGAGATTATCAGCATCTGACAAACAAGCTCTCTAGCTGCCTATATAGACAGTATTTTAAGGCATCATATGCTCTTGGTTGATTCAAAAGACAGCATCATTAAAGATAAGATTTGGCCAAACTCTATACAAGGAAAGCATGTGAAAAATCAATATATATAATAAATAAAAAAATGGCCAAATAATATATGAGGAAAAAATTAGTAACTAAAAATTTTTTTAAATATATTTTTACTTTTTTTTTAATAGCAATAGATTATTTTTATTATTTTTATTATTATTTTCTATTGTACTAGGCAATTTCACTACCATCTGCACTACTTAATCTAACACTTTTCTATTGAATTAAAATGTATTTTAAAGTTAAACATTTAATTTGAAATGATCATAAAGTGCACTTTTTAAAAGTGTTAAGAACCAGTCATGAAAGTGTATTTTCATGAAAGTGGGCCTTTTACTTCATTAATATTATATTATCTGCAAGTACAGTTTTTTAACACTTATAACACTTATAACACTTTAACACTTTAACACTTTAACACTTAAGATATGTAAGCTGTTTGAAATAGGTCATTAGGTCACTGAGTTCCAATTTATGTTAGGATGCAACATCAGATCAGACAGCAAAACAGCTCACTAATTTTTGGAAAAGAGCCATAAAATAATTTGACAAAACCCAGCACCCACCACAAACACAGAGCAATGTTGCATCATACTGAAAATGTTATTTAACTGACTCAATCTTGACTACATGCGAGGTTGATATGTTTTGTTGAAAACTAGATTTATATGACAATTGCATAAACAAAAGCTGGCGAAATGAAAGGACTAACATGAGAGAAAGAGGCTCGGGTTCAATCGGGGGAGGGAGGCTGCGAGCGTTTGATGCAGGCCAGCCGCAAGAAGAAGGAATGTGTCTGCCGGAGAATGAGAGACAGCGAGGGAAACGCTGAGGAGGAGACCGGGTGGAAAGTGGGAGGGAGTATAGAGAAGCGTGTGTGTAAAGCATGCATGTGTGTGTGGCATGGCTGTTGAATGAGTGGGCCTTGTGTAGCTGCTTCTCTGCCCCAGAGCCTCCTGTCAGAGCAGTGTGTGTCTGTGAGTGCGTTTGCACGTGTTTGCAGGAGACAAACCACCGGCCACCGCAACTAACCGCCGGAGAAACTGCACACCATTGGTATTTCTCAAACTCAGCACAAGCCACACGAGTTTTCTCCTGTGCGATGAGAGGAATGAGAGTGTGGATAGCTCTTTGCGTTCTCTCTCAGAGTGTGATTCTGGTGGTCCTCCTGATCCCTCAGCAGGGAAATGCCCACCCACAGTGCCTGGACTACAAGCCTCCGTTCCAGCCTCCGGAGCCCCTGCACTTCTGCAAGGAGTACGCCAAATTTGGATGCTGTGACTTGGACAGGGATAACCGAATATCCCAGCGCTTCTATCAGATCATGGACTACTTCGATCAGACTGGATTCATGGCCTGTGGGAAGTACATCCGCAGCATTCTTTGCCAGGTGAGTCTCAGGTCAGGCAGGTTGATTTCTTTGCTGTTTTAAAAAAATCTCTGTAGAAATGCACATAGAAGAATTTAAATGCATTGACAGGGTTGTTGAGTGAAAAAAAAATAAAAAAGTTTATATCTGTCTCAGTTCTCGCTGCTTGTGTTCTTTTTTTTTTATTATTTACGTTCACTTATTTTGGATGTGGATGTGCCGTACTTTGTTGTGCCCTGTCTTGTGTTGTACAATATGCAAGGTTACCCAAGAAAGAAAATTCTGTCATCATTTGCACACTCTTTATATTTTGAAGAATGTTGGTAACCAAAGAGTTGCCGGTAGCCATTGACTTCTATAGTATGAAAATGAAACATATTATGGAAGTCAATGGCTGTTGTCAACTCTTTGGTTACTAGCATTCTTCAAAATATAATATTTTGTGCTCAACAGAAGAGAGAAACTCATACGGGTTTGGAACAACTTGAGTTTACGTGAGTAAATGATGACAGTTGTCATTTTTGGGTGAACTGTCCCTTTAACTTTAATTCAAGAAATTCTCTATAGAAATGTATATATAAGAATTTAAACAGCTGTACAGGGTTATTGGATTATATGTATTTATTACTTAATTATATTAATATTGCTATGAAATTTAATATACAAAATATAATAATTAAATATTCATAAATATTTTATATTTATATTAATTAAATTATTTATCCAGTTTTGTTAATAAATGATGCAGACTGTGTCCCATTCATCAGTGTTTATAGTACAGAGGAGGTTACATCATTGCATGAGTTACATCATTTTTGTTTTGGCTATGCTTTAATAAGGCTGGATGATTTCTGAATTTGTAATGAGCTATTTTTAGATGACTTTGGTTTAATTGTAAGATATTACTAGTTATGGTAATTTTGTGTGAATTTTACTCTACAGTTTAAAAAAAATAAGCCCACACATGTTCAACTTAAGTCAACATAAACAAGATACATATATATATACAGTATATGTTATTTTTGGTGTATTGGAATAAACTATATGTAAAACCATAATTCCTTTCTGGGGCCAACCAAAATTAACATCCAAATTATAGTCACCTTCTTACATCATTGCAACTTCAAGGCTGCTGGGATTAAATGATACTAATTTACCATATGGTTTTGAGCTTGCAGTGGGATTGCGGTTGGCGAAGGGAACACCTGATTTATTTGACTACTTAGTGTTGAAGCTGAGCTCAATGATTGTCTTTGTTGGAACATTTATCCCAGATACAGAGAGCTGCTTGTGTTCTCCAACCTGCAGAGAAGCAAAAATATATGCTTCCTCTCTAACTAGGCATATCATATTCCTGTGGAAAGGTCAGGGCAGCAAAGATACTGAAGAAAGAGAGAAAGAAAGAGCAAGAGTAGAGGCTAAGCTACTTTCATAATACATCAGTTTTGAATCTGATTGGTCGAACCTCATTCCTAGAGAGCTGATATTAATTTCAACAGCACTGGAACCTTGTTTTTGTGCTTTCCAGACTTTCATCTGTAGAGGTCGACAAGTGGCTGCCTTTATGAGTCAGTGAATCATTCAATATGCTGATTTTTTTTTTTTAAGATCAAAACAGATCACAGTCTATAAGAAAGAATCATTGAATTATTCACTCAACCAATTCATATGCATTGTTTCTGGTGACCGTCAATATGAGTGAGTGATTGAATTGTTCACTCAGCCAATTAATTCAGATTCTTTCAGGAACATACTTTAAAGGGGTCATATGATGCTTTTTTAAAGATCATTATTTTGTGTATTTGGTGTAACAGAATATGTTGACATGCTTTAATGTTCAAAAAACACATTATTTTTCAAATACTGTACATTATTGTAGGTCCTCTATGCCCCGCCTCTCTCAAACGCTTCGTTTTCTACAAAGTCCCTCCTTCCGACAAGCGCAGTCTGCTCTGATTGGCCAGCTGACCCAGTGCATTGTGATTGGTCGAACACCGCAAGCACGCGTCGGAAATAAAAAGCCTCTTACCATAATCGCAGCTTCAGCTTTCAAAATAAATGTAAAGACAGAGCCGGAAAGGGGAACAGAGTCACGTGACAGACACAGTGATGAAGCTGGTATGCGTTTGCAGTACACAAGCCACGGTTAAGACAGCTGAAATCTGTCTTTCGCACTGACATGGCTGCATCAACACTACTGCTGTTCCTGAAACCACGCCTTCTTTCTTTGCGTGAACATTTGGGCCGCATTATGCAAATCTTCCCACATAGTGAGGTAGATATGTGGGGGCCTTTTAGAACGAGCCGTTTTAGGGGGGCGTGGCAGAGTCTTAACTTTGATAAAGAATATCTCTTTGGTTTTGAGACTTTAGTCTTTGCAACTTCAGGGATCTTATCTATGCACAATCAGCTTGTAACACTCCAAAGAGAAAGGAAAACTTGAATTCGCATCATATGACCCCTTTAACTACACTACTGTTTGTTTCTTGGAGAACTTGACAGACCAAAAATAGAAATACTGGAAATATCACGAAAATGTTTTGATTATTATGAGTGCACACTGCAGTTGTCTCATCTGCCACTTGAAATGCGTGGGCTCTTTAAAGTTGGGTGGATTCTGATTGGCTGTCAGTGTTTTTTTAATCGTTGATCAGCTGTAAAAACAAACAAAAAAAGTGATTTTAATTATATTGTTTGTTCTATTGTTGTAATGAGCAGTCCACTGAAGGCGAGTGTGCAGTTTATTAAAACAAAGCAGAATCCAAAAATCCCAACAAATACAAAACAAAGATTTGATTTGACATGAACAGACTTGGCTTGGCATGAACAGGCTTGACTTAAACACTCACCGACAGCAGGGCTACATACATTCAAGTGTACCAAATGACACAGCTTACAAAAGTCCGGCACATAATCCTCAATGGGCCGGTTTCCTTGGCGAAGTCGTAGAAGAGCAACTGCTGGGTTCATAGTTGCGGTCGAGTATTCTGTAACAAACGGGCCACTGAACGGCAAGTCGTGATGAACCCAAGTGCAGCTTTTATTCAAAAGTAATAAGTAATATATGCTTTTATCAGTGTTTTTTGATAAACATGACTCAAGGTAACAGTGTGACTACACTAAAAAAGCTTTTACTGTTATAAAAACACGAATTGTTCGAATAAACATGCAACAGACGTCGTGCTTGTCATCACAAAATCTGACCAATGAGAATAAAGTGTGTCGTCATCAAGGCTCTCGCCGCCTATTTGGAGCAACTGCAGCGCCTGACCTCGGCGGCTGGTCTCGTTTTGCTCTCGCAGTACTTCGGTTGCACATGTGATCGTAAGCACCGATCAAAGTCGGACAAATGTTCTAACCAGAATGCATTGCTTTTGTCAGGCGGCAGCCGATCTTTGCGGCGCCGCATGAAGTCGAACAAGCCTAATGAGAACATGACACATGAACTAAAGAACCAATCAAAACATAACACATAGACAAGGGAATCACATGACAGAGCATGACTGTGGCCAAACTGCAAAATAAAAGACAAGCAACAAAACCCAAACTCCACGTTACAATTGTTCAGTGATGTGGAGTTCTTTATTCTCATAGAATTCGAATGCATATTAAAATTTTATAGTTATTGTTATAGTTATCGCCCTTGTATGATCATTCACGATTCAAACAGATGGCTGTCATTGAGTCATTCACTCAACCAATTCATTCAAAACCACTGATTTGTTCTGGATTGCAACAGGTGACTGTCTCATGAGTGAGTCATTGAATCATTCACTCAGTCAATTTGTGCAACGATTATGATTCATTCATGTATGCAATGCCACTACTGTGTGTTGCTTGGAGAAGCTGGCAGACCAAAGATGGAAATATTGGAAATATCTTGAAGATATTTTCTCTAAAATGTAAGTTGTGTAACATCAATATCATTCTTAGAATGGTCTAAATATCCGCTTGGTTGCAATTCAGAGGCTGCAGAGCACTCTTGCTCATGTTATTGCATTAATAAATAGCTGAATTTGGCAAAATATTGAATATGTAATTAGTAATCGTATTCTCAGGTATGATCACAACTTTGGATGCCCTCCTGTTTTTTGTTGTTGTTTTTTTTCTGTGGTTCTTGAGAACCAAAACCAGATATGTAAGAAATGTCTGTTTCATGATGCATTAAAGGGGTTAAAATAATAACTCTTTCAACAGGGAAAAGCTGTAAACTCATAATTGCCTAACGAGTGACGGGCACAGACATATAAGCTAATGGGCTTTCAGGCCCAGTAGAGTGGAGCAAATGTGTTGATGAGTGAAACCCTGCAGGGACCATCTGTTGAACTAAATGATAACAACAGAGATTGTGAGCTCCTACAGACTCTCATAATTACAGAAGCATATCAACACAATTACACAAAGGACAAAAACAGAAGAACACAATGACTGGGCAAGAACTTACAATGGGATCAGAAGGTATGGAGGACAAAAATATGCAGTGCATCTGAAAGAAAGAGAGCATGGGAATTAGTGCTTTTCCCAGCATTGTTCAAAACAAGTAGACACTTGGCATTTTACTTAGAAGTGTTTACTATAATCTTGAATGTGAAACAATAGTTAAAACATTCAATACAACTCCTCAACTCATCTTATATGATATCCATGAAGCAAAATAAGCAAAATAAGTCTTTTATTGGACATTTGAGGGTAATATATTGACCCATGACCTACAGTTTTTTTATTACGCCTGAAAACTACAGTGGAATTATGTCGATTCAGAAGTTTCCTTGACATAGACATTCAGTCCAACTCATTTCTGCAAGGTTTTTCCTCAATGCTAACAGGATATTACATAACCTTATGTGTTGTTTAGGAAATGCTGGACTCATTTTAAGGTCTATATTTTGTTTGAATTGCAATCAAACATCATTAGAGAGCCTTGAAACATTATTCATCCACCTTTTGGCCACATTACAGATGTGTTACGAGTGAGTTAGCCCATCAATCCAAGCCACTTTCAGGTCCATTATTTATTTAATGTCATTATAGTAATCTCGGATGACTTCCAGTCCCGAGCTGGCAGTATCGTTGCCAAGGCTGGCTCGGTCCTCTGATGGGTGTGGTGTTGTGGTTAACATAATGAGGGCTTGGTTAGTCCAAAATGTCCAAGAGTTACTGTATTTATAGCTCAAACGATCATCACCAGCTGCTGGATTGAATCCTGGGATCCCGGCTGTAGAGAAGACGTGCAGAGTGCCACGTTTGCCAGACGATGAGGAGGAGAGAAGCCGAAAGCCTTACACAGCAAATACTTTTCAGATGGATTAGTTATTTGAGATTAACTGAAAGTTTATTGAAGATAGTAGCAAGTCATTGTTCACGGGTCAATGACATGACACTTTTTTATGGCTCTATAAATTTATAAAAAAATGCAGTACATTAAAAATGCAACTCATACACTATTAAAAACGAAGGTTCTTTATTTGCATATATGGTTCTATGACAGAGGATCTTTATAGCACAAGTATGAGTATTAAAATGTTCTTCACACTAAGCAAAAATGTATACTCAAAGGTTCTCTGAGAACCCAAAATAGTTATTCTAATTGCGTTGCAAAAAAAAAAAAACCTTCAGAAGAATCCACATCAAAAAAAAAAATCTTGAAAAGAAAACCGTGTAAACCTGGTATAATATTTCTTAGAAAAAATGTTTTAAAACTACTTGACTTAACAAAACCTATCATGCACAGAAATGCGGAACAAAAACATAAAACAGTAAATGCTGTCATATCAGATCATTTGAAAATGTATTTTACAATTATTTTCGAAAGTAATAATTAAGATATGTACACTTGTATTCAGTGTGTAAGAAAAATGGCATGTGGCATAGAGGTTTTTTCAAAAACTGACAATTGAACATTTAACATTGCCATTAACAAATAAAATATAAGTGCATTTATAAGACCTTGGCAAATGCGTTTTAAACTAAATTTTTAAAAGATTTTTCCTTTTTTATATAACTAGCTGTCATAAAGTCTCATACTCATGCTTAACACTTAATAGTTTATAGTTATCGTCCTCAAAGGGATAATTCACCCAACAATGCAAATTGTGTCATCATTTCTCAGCTTCAAGTTGTTCCAAAACTGTATGAATTTCTTTCTTCTATTCTTCTATGAAACACAAAATAAGATATTTTGATGAGTTGATAACCAAAGTTTCAGTCCCCATTGCTCATGCATATTTGCCACGTTCACCGTGCTTAAGTAAGGGATAATGCATGGCTAGCTGTGCATTAAACGGTTTTACTGCATACCTGCCAGCCAATCAGAATCCAGTATTCAGACAGACCATGGTATAATACAGTATATCACTACACTAATGACAATAGGTAATAGAGCTTTAGCCAAACTTTCACTAATGTGACACACTTTTAATGTGGTCAACGTAAAGCTGAATCTTAGACTGAAGTAATCTTGATCTGTCTGGGACTGTTACTGTTAGAGAGGCTTTAGAATTCATATATCACTGTTGAAGAAATGTCCATGCTTTGATTTGTTTGTTTCAGGAATGCTCTCCTTACGCAGCGCATCTGTACGATGCAGAAGACGCAAACACCCCGATGCGGGAGCTTCCCGGCCTCTGCGGAAACTACTGCGAGGATTTCTGGCTCCACTGCCGTTACACTCTCAGCCTTCTGATCGACAACAACGAAACGCATGCTATCGAAGAAGACCGGAGCAAGTTCTGCAAATATCTAGAGCTGAAAGATCCCGAGTACTGCTACCCAAACGTCCTCTCCAACTCCGCGCTCAATGCCGACCTGGGAGACGTGAAGGCGGATCCGCAGGGCTGCATTCAGTTATGTCTGGAAGAAGTGGCGAATGGGCTTCGCAATCCTGTGGCGATGGTACACGCCAATGACGGCACGCACCGCTTCTTCGTGGCGGAGCAGCTGGGTTACGTGTGGACTTACCTGGCCAACGGTTCTCGGATCGACAGGCCCTTTCTGAACCTGACCAGGGCGGTTCTGACCTCGCCTTGGGCCGGGGATGAGCGAGGGTTCCTCTGCATCTCACTGCATCCTCACTTCACAAAGGTGAAAAAGGCCTACGTTTACTACTCGGTGTCTGTGAAGAAGCAGGAGAAGATTCGCATCAGTGAGTTTCTCGTGTCTGATTCGGATATGAATATGCTGGATCACTCCTCAGAAAGGTGAGAGACCGAAATGAGATATTCACATGTTATGTTCCACTCAACTCGACCTGCATATTTCATGGTTAAAAACATTATTTTTAATGTATTTTGGTATGCCAATTTCTAAGAGTAATTTTTATTTATTTATTTAATTTTTATTTACACTTATATCCAAAGAAACATATACTCTCTGTTAAAAAAAAAAAAAATATATATATATATATATATATACATACACACGCACATGCGCACACAGACACACACACACTTTTTTTGATTAAAATGTTAAAATGCTTTAACCCTTGTTTTTTTTTAATTTTTTTTACTTTATCAGAATGGTACAAAACTTGATAAAGGTGAGGGGAAAAAAATCATGGACGTAATTCAAAAAGGTTAAATAGTTCTTCAATAAATATCATTTAGTATCATAAAATCCCCTAAAAAAAGTTTAAAAAAAACATGGAAATAAATCATGCATGTTTCAAAAAGGTTAAATTGTCCCCTTCATAAATATTATTTTGTATATACCCTAAAAATGCAAAATATTAAACAAAAAACTTTAACGAACTAAAATATAGTACATTCATTTTATTGAAATACAATAATATAGAGTACTTATTTTATAAATGATTACATTATATTGATAGTAAAGTGCAAGAATAATAGGCATACAATAAAAAAAAAAATAAAAAAAAAAACATGATTTTAAAGTTTTTTAAATTGGTGCCATACTCTAACTGATCATTTTGATTCAACATTTTTTCTTTTTTTTTTTCTTTCTGTAACTGGCAGTATGCATCAAATGCTGTCATTTAAGCTTAAAATTACACTAAGGAACACTGATTTTTTTTTATTTTAATTTTTTATTAGGAACAAATGCACAAAACAAATCTGTAAATAAAAAAACTCATAATAATAATCCTGCTTCACCTCAAATATTCTTCCATCATTCATCCATGTGTGTTCCAGAAATTATGGTGGCAGATACTTGATTAAAAAAAGAAAACTTCCTCTTGCAATTTTATATTTAACATACAGGTGTCAAAAGAGAGCCCAGAATCTATCTTTATTTACATGTTTGGCAGATGATTTTGTCCAAAGCTGCAGGAAAGGATACATTATTTGATTAATCAGCAGCTCAAAATGAACATATTCTGAAATAAAAGACTTTCTCTTAGATGTGTGATTTTCACCCCTTTTGTATCCGTTTGTGAAATGGTTTAAACTAGCTATGCTTATTTTGGTTCCCAGGACAGTTCTAGAAGTTGATGAGCCTGCATCAAACCACAATGGAGGTCAACTACTGTTTGGGTTGGATGGATATCTGTACATATTCATAGGAGATGGTGGCAAAGCGGGAGACCCTTTCGGGAAGTTTGGGAATTCTCAAAACAAGTAAAGCATCTTTATTTATCTTTATTTGACACATTTGCCTTTTACAGAATGCACTATTTTTAACACCTATTTTTTACTGTAAATTGACATGATGTCAGTGCAAACATTCACATTATCATATCTGCTAACTACGGAAGCCTGTTTCCACCACAGAATAAAATTTTTTTTTTTTTAAAGTAATCGTGACTTTGTATTTTACTATTTAGATTTTTTTTTCTCTGAATTGCAAGATATAAACTTAGAATCTTAGAAAAAAAAAATCAGAATTGCGAGATTTAAACTGAACTCTGAGATTGTGATTGTGAGCTAAAATGTTTTTCCCTTAGAATTGTAAATATTTGTTATTAGAATATTGTACATATTCATTCATTCATTCATTCATTCATTTATTCATTTATTTATTTATTTAGTTAGTTAGTTAGTTAGTTAGTTTGTGAAAATGGACTTCCATAGCCAGCTAATGTATTCCTATTAGTCACACACACACACACACACACACACACACACATATATATATATATATATATTTATTTTTTAAAGGAACATTTTGACTGTAAATGGCTAAAAATCTCTTATTGTTGTATTCTACAATTTAAAATAATGAAGCAAATTCAGCTCTTAAGGGGATAATGCAATACAAAAAAAAAAATCTGTATTTACTCATCCTCATGTCATTTCAATTCCTTATGCTTTTCTTTCTTCTGTAACGAATCAGCTCATGCGAAATATGAATAATTATTCATAACTAGTTATAATTAATTATGAATATTTTAGTAACCATGGGGGGCCCTGGTGTCGTGGCAGACATCCTGGCATCCAGTTTATTTGGTGAGGGGACTGTGACGATTTGTTAATCTAATGAATAATTGATTTGTTAAATCAAATGAAAAATGGTGTGTCTGATTGGTCCAGAAGCTACACTTCCGTGGAACAGAATAAAATATATTTTGTTGAATGAATTAGCTGCTCTTTTCCATTCTGGTGCAGTCAAGCATCAAGTATAGGATAAGAAAATCACCATCAAAAAAGTCCAAAACCTACAAAAAATATATTGTATGTTTTCAAAAGATGTGGATGGATCACTTTATTGGTATTTTAATGATGTTTGTGTCATTGCATTATTCAGGTTCAGATGTTGGCGTTGATTTGCCCCGGTTGAGTAATGCACATTTAGCCAGACAGACACACAGCCTCACAATATTAGCCTTGGCTCTGCCGCCCTGCTTTCCCCGTGTGACATAAGCAGCGCTGCAGAGCCTGGTGAATATACACTCACAGACTCACAAGCACACAGCGAGCCTTTCATTCTTATAGAGAGAGCTGTCAGAGCCACAGCGGTCTTGGAGTCCTGCTGCCGATGACGAGCAGAGACGCATACTATATTGACACTACATGTTGAATGTGGAGGTTCAGTCTTATCACACTGTTAGCTCTTCTGTGCAACACGCAGTATGGAAAAGCTTAAAACCTTATAGCAACATGATCAGCATCACAGTAACTTTTAATTAGACTTTTGGGCACTCAGTTCCAGTTGCTTTGAATGTCTGTTAATATGTGGTTACTTGCAATGCTTTGAGCTCACAGAAAAGTGTAGTTATAAGCA